GATACATTTCTCGAAACAAAACCAACATAAAAAAACCAACCCAGACAAAGAAATTCTTAGCAGCATGTGATATCCAATTTAAATAGAAAGTACTACAGAAAATGCTAATTGGAACAGACTGGTTTCAATCAAAGCCGAAAAATTAGAGAATAGAAATATAGAGAAGGTAAAGTACAGAAACAAGATGGTTCCTTTTGTACACCAACAGCTCTTCTATTCTGAGAACAGATCTAATCTAGTAACTTCACTGAGGTAGTGAGTAATAGATGTCACAAAAATCCATGCACTTAAATATAATCTAGTTTTTCAGGTCTTCACTGAGTCAGTTTACTCCTACTTTATACATTATGCTAGCTGTCTTAGTCACCTGCTTTCCAAAACTGAAGCAGACTAGAAGCAGCATTATGAAGGTGGAGAAAGGCGATTGCTACAGGCACATTTAAGTGATCGGTACTATAAATCAGAGGAATCAAAACTGTTAGAAAAGAAAGACACAAAAGAATGGAGCTATTTAGTAAAGGGGCATGTAGCTCTCGGTGCCTCATTTGCCTACCAAAGCAAAACCATTGTTAATGATGATCATTTTGACATAAAAAATTTTTAATGTACCTCATATATCATTTAAGAAGACAGCAGTACATATTAAGTTTTAAAAAGATTTCCTTCAGAATTTATTTCAAAAATTTTTAATGCTTAGGTTTAAGCACTGTAGAAAACTGGGATATCTAGAATGACTCATTCCCCAAATATTCAGTTAGCCAGTTCTTATTAAGTTGGCCAAGCATGTTTAGTTCTAGAATACAAATCTTGGTGTACATAGTTGAAGTCCATTTATGGCACTCTAAGTTTTAAGTCTGTGTACTATATTAGAACATTTAACAAGAACAAAATATTTAACATTTTCCTAAAATATACAGAATGATTTATACAAAGATGATAGTCAAATTTTCAATTTTCTTCTATAGCTCAATTCATTAATGGAGAGTCCTAGAAACATCAACATATAAAACTTGAATTAATACTTTTAAGTATATGGCAATCACATATTTAACCAAGTATTTTTAGGAATTCTCAGTAAAGAACTAAGAGGCAAACAAAAGTATGCTAAGCAGCCCAACAGGTACCACAAAGTCCGTGCATTTTACTGACAGAAAAGCCCCTTAGCCTTCGTTCAGTCTACTTACTCTTATTTTAGACACAATTCTAGCAAGCTTGGCAATCTGGTTTCTCAGTCCACAGCAGATTAGAAGCAGCAAATTAGGAGCCTAGTGCAGGAAGCAGGTACACAAGACAGCAGCAAAAAGTGACAGCTGATAACAAGGGAAGACAGAAAAACTGAAAAACAGACATAACTCAAAAAGCATAGCAATGCAGGGTCAGGCAGTAAAAGGGCATTGTATATCTTAGTAGTTCCCATGATAGGATCTGATATTCGTAAAGATGACGAAGAGAAAGTGGAGAAATAGAAAGTACACTTTAGAATAGCTCCTGCTAAACTGTTGCAGAAATTAATGATTAAATGGATTTACCTCAGTTAACAGAAAAATTAACTAATGCAAGTTAGTCACCTGTCAATGATGACCTAAGTGAATTGTTACTGTACTTAGGGCATTTTTTTCTCCATATTTTCTCTTTTAAGATATTTGTAACTTGATTTTCTAATTCTAAGTGTCAATTACACAGATATGTTCTTATAAATAGAACTGGAAGAATAAATTAGTCTTTATGCTTTGTCTGGTTGTCATGAATGAATGGCATGTCTGCTTCAGTTCAAATAACTAGTTAGCTAAGCTATACCACAGTCTTCTGGTTCTTGTTTTGTTTGGATATAGAAACAATATACTATGATTAAACCAAATCAGTTGAGCTCTTCTTCCTATATGATTTATAGGAAATCCTAATAACTTATCAAAATATTTTGTATTTTACATTACTGATGGTGTGTAAAAGTCAGTCACCAGCGTGAAATGACCTCTAGGGTTCCTTCTGATTAACTCCATTGACATCATTTTGTGAAATGTATCAGAACTTGATTCTTTTTATGCTTGAACATTAAAAGCTTTACCACTTTTATTATGTAAATCAGAATATTACTTTTTATTTTTCAAGAAAGTGAGTTTTAAATTTTTTGACCTATTTTACTAACATATTTACTAACTGGTTACTAACATAACCAGATCTTGTTTTCAGCCTCAAAAGTTTTATTTCCTTTTTAACTATTTCTGAGAAGTCAGAAATCACAAACATCATTTAGCAATTCAGAGAATCTGGTTTTTGCTGGGAACCCTGTGACATCATTACATCAACTATACACACAGCTTTTAAATGATAGGTCTGGGATTTAAACTCAGGTCTATTCTTCTGTATTAAACCCTTAAAGTCTTAAAATTCCTTAGTAATTTGCTTTAAACTTATTTTTCCCAACCTGCTTGTCTCCAGTAACTTCAGAAATCCAACTTAAGTCAATGCATTAGAGTTCCTAGTGCGATATATTCAGATGCTGTAAGTACAAGTAGCTTTAATAAGGATTTAACTTACGAAGTCAGATAATACAGACAACTTGTGAAAACAAGCAGCCAAGTGCAAATCAAAAACCAACAGGAGTCTGACCCTAGATAGACAAGATACGTAGAGTTTTAATGAGAGCTGGAAAAAAAAAAAAAGGATTTAAAATAGATATAACTGTAACCAGATCATTTAGTGCCATGGTTTTCCAACTGTAGGCAAAGGGCAAAAATTCTTTCTTTATGAGTGACCTAAATAAATAGCCCCTTCCATGCATTCTTCCATTAAGTATACTAGGTTTAAAATAAACTATGGAAATGTTCATATTAAAAGCTGTCAGGATATTACTCTTAATAGGAATTATACTGTCAAAATACTCTCGTAAAATTTGAAAGCACAATTACAAGTTTTCCCCATAAAATATTTTTGCTAGAGGGCTTCTTTTGGATGTAGGGTGGCAGCTATTAAAATTAGTGAAAAGCCTGATAAGACAAAAGTGAAATATTCTCAGAAAAGTAACAAGAATACCTACTTATATTACATTGATTTACTTGTTTTGTTTCTGAAAGTATTCATGGCAAGAATAAAGTCCTGGACGGAGGTTCTTAGATTTTACCAGGCATAAAGATCACTTAGGTCTTTTCCCAAAATGAACAACTAAGAATGATTGGGAGTATGGCCACAAATCTGTGTTTTAAAAATATTATCTCCAAATTATTCTAATGTAGGTGGCCCCATGGAGGGGGCAGACAGAGAAACACTGACTTTTAGATTATTATAAAAGAAAATTAGGAATTTTCACATGGAAGATAATATTTTATCATGGAAATATTTTAAAAGATGACAAATTATAAAAACTACATTTAAAACAGAACATTCAATTAAAGTTCCAACCTCCTTATATCATGATTTAGAATAAGTAGAATTTCTATAAAACTAAGTAATAACTAGAGAATAAAACAGATCAGACAGAGAGGGGAAGGTAAAGCTCAAGTGGTAGAGTGCATGCTTATTAGCATGTACGAGGTCCTGGGTTCAATTCAATTTTTTCTGTTACTAAAAATAAATAAATAAATAAA